AGAGCGGTTTCTGCATATTCACTATGCTAGTAAGACTCTCTCCCTGCAGATAAGCCTTTAGGGTTTGTAAGAGGAAAAGTCAAATTAACTTTGGGAATGTAAAGGAGGTATGGGTGGTAGCAGTTTGTTTCATTTCCATGAAATTTGAGATGAGACAGAGGGTAGAGAGTAGAAATGAGAAATTACTTTCTTTACAGGGAACATTTTGCTCTCTTTGCTATGCAAAACATGTATCTGGAGATCGATTAAAATTAACAGTGTGTTGAATTATCAGAGTGATACTATCCAAAATCTTGCCTCTGTGGCATTTTAAAAATCACTAATTTTTGCATGCGTGTATACTGTATACCTTGGTATATGTTGGTTTGTTTTTTTTTTTTAATAAGTTGACTTTATTGTTCCTGTTTTCCTCCACTTTAACTGAGTTCTGAATAGGTAAATTATTTTTTTGAAGTATGTTTTATTTCTACAATAAAAGAGTGTTTCACCTCTAATATTTAAACTGAACTTATCTCCTCCTACACTCTTCTGCTCGTTCCAACATCCTTTTGTTTCTTAAGTCCATTAAGGATAAGGAGACTTACTACTGAAGCCTTACTTTCTTCTCTCTCACTTGCCCAATAGAAAACTAGTACCTATCCCAATTAGCAATTAAGTTCTCGTCCTCTATATAAAGTTAGCATGCTGTTCTCCTCACCACCTTTCCTTTGACTTTTCACTTTATAAATGACCAAGCAGTGTTCTACAGCTGAAACACACATGCAGAACCCAATCTAACAAGCTCTACTGGATTTGGGCCAGAGAGTGGTAAAGGCAATGAAGCTATACTACAAAACCATGGGTAACACCCACCTGAAATGAAAAAAAAAAAAAAGGGGAGGTGGGTAGTGGGGGAGGTGGTTAGTCAGTAAAATCTCCCAGTAAATGTAACAGGCAGTTTCTCTTAGCTTGGACTCTGCTCAAACAATTTTTATTTGAACATTGAGACAGGAGAAAATAAACAGAAAGCCATACAAACTTCATGCAGGAACAGTAACAGCAAAATTCCAGCCCAGGCTGCACCAGTACTAGCACACATCTGTATCAATAGTCCTAGCAGACAAACAGGAGAAATAAAGAAGAGTACTGCTTCTGCCATTGTTAACAGAAAAAAAAGCTGCTCTCCTCTCCACCAATACTGTGCAAAGTAATTCATGGCAGGAAAAAGAAAGCAAGTTTGAATACCTAGCACTACTGACCTTTGTGTTCGAGGATTTGTATGGTTCAAAGGCTCAGCTACACTTGGTACCAATTTTCCTGGAACAACAGAACAACAACAATTAAAAGTATTAATAAACTACAATATTCCAAGTAAATAATCTCACAGTTAGTACAATGACATTTCACCTGACAGAGAATCAATAAAGAAACACCCTGCAACAAAACTCTGCAGTTTTTTCCTTATTTTAAAGTTTACAGATTAATAGATTAGCAAAGGTCACCAACTAAGTATAAACAAGAAGCTGGCTGTCTACACTTAAATAATATGTAGGCCGGGCAAGACAAAACCAATATGCTGGACTTAGAAACACACAGCAGGGATTTCCAAGTAGAAGGGAAATAACCACAGGGAACTCTCAGTTATCCATCAGCAAAGCAGAATGCAGACTAACTATACAATCCTACCTTTTTCCTTAATTTGCAACTTCATTCTGTTTGCATTTTTATGGGTAAGCCTACCCTTTTTAAAAAAGGTAGATGGACTAAAGCACAAGTTGTCCTTATAACTCTATTTATTTCTAGCCTCAATTCTTTTTCTTTACCCCCTCCTAACACTGAGAAATCAATGTAACTCTAGTCTTCTTCCAATTTACTATTGCAAGGAAGCAAGGTCTCAATGAAATGAACATACAAAAGCATATACCTGAAATGGCAAAGAGAAAACAGACAGGACAGTGCATTTTCTGGTATAAATATGCAACACTTCTATTAAATATTAAATATAAATTGTTGACTCTTCTAATAACTTCTTTGTCACCACGTGGCTTTGTTTCAATGGGAGCAGTAAACTGTACTTCCAACCAACAAGATGAAAAATAATCAGAAACAGAAAGAGAAGTAAACTTTTAAAATTGCATTAGAGTCTTGAAATATTAAATTTTGTAAATAAGCTTGATCCCAAATCTGGAATTATTTTATACGCTGGGAGTTCTTCTCTGTAAACTGAGCAAATACAGTTACTAACAGCAGGTACAGGTCTCTCTAAAAGCCATCCCAGCAGTTATCTGGCAGAGGAGAACTGGTATTTATAAAACTTCATTATTCAGAACTGACATGTCTTTAGAAGCCCCTGCTTTTCTTCTGCCCTTCTCAAGAATGCAAGGCAGGTACCTGTATTATTCTTGTTCCTTGCTCCAGGAATCTTTTGTGATTTGGGAGGGATGGGAAGTTTTGGGACGCTTCTGTTGCACACTGGATTAGCCACAGGCATATGTAGAACCTTGAAAGAATCAAAATATTCCATTAGAATTTACCAAAAGACTCCTTATCACTTCAGCTTTGATTCTGAAGAGCTTCATTTGTGATGTACTACCTGGCGGGCCGGTGCTGAGAATGTATTTCCGTTTTGTCCTACTACTGAGAGAGGTATCATTCCCACCATTCCTTGCAAGACAGGTTGCACTGGAGATGCAATTATAATGGCAGAACCTAAAAAATATCAAAGTGTTAAAGTTGTATATAAACTAAAAATAATTCAGTGAAAAGAAAAGCTTCAAAACAGGATTTCTTAAAATTATGCACGGTCAAACCGGTGGGAAGAAAAGCTCTGGCTTTTAGAAAGACTTCACTGTCCTTACTATACATCACGACTAGAAAACTGTGTAAGTACCAGTGTTATTTTTAGTTTATATTGAATTCTTTAGTTAAAGTTCATTTTCCTTTTTAAGAAATGGTTCAAAATTAAACTTGAAGTATGACAAACCTATGTTAAGGCCTGAACTTTGAATTAAAGTGATATATAAAACCCAGTAAAAGTAACATTGCTCATTTTGCTGCTTAGTAAAAACAAACTGTTATTTGCATCCTATTCTCCACAATTAGCATGCTGAAAAGTCATTAGCAGAATTATTTTTTTTCTTAGAGTGCACCCATAACACCTTCCACTCACAAGCACACAAGCTGGGAAAGGCTAGCTTTGTATGTATGTAGATACCTAATGTATATTCCTGGCTGGTAGGAGGTGTTAAGCGGAGTACACAAAGAGTCTAGTTAATTACTGGGTTTGAGATTAATTATTTAAAAAAAAAATAGCACAATAAGACTAATTTGGAATATTTGAGCTGAAGTTTCCCATTTAACTATTTAAATAATTGTTAAAACAGTTGTTTTAAAACAGTTATTCTAACAGGTTGTAAGAGTGTCCAGCTGCCTGTCCTGGTTTCGGCTGGGACAGAGTTACTTTTTTTCCTGATAGCTGGTATAGTGCTGTGGTTTGGATTTGGGATGAAAAGAATGTTGATAACGCACTGATGTTTTTTACTTGTTGCTGAGCAGCCAAGGACTGTCCAGCTTCCCGTGCTCTGGCCTGGCAGCGAGCAGGCGGGGGGTGCACCGGGAGCTGGGAGGGGACACAGCCAGGACAGCTGACCCAGGCTGGCCAAAGGGATATTCCATACCATACGGCATCATGCTCAGTATATAAAGCTGGGGGAGTTGGCCGGGGAGTGGCCGTGGCTCAGGAACTCGCTGGGCATCGGTCAGCGGCTGGTGAGCAATTGTGCTGTGTATCACTTCTTTGGTGTATCCTTTTATCATTCTTATTATCATTAGGATTATTCTCTTTTTTTTCCCCTGTCCTATTAAATTGTCTTTATCCAACCCACGAGTTCTACTTTTCCCCCTGATTCTCTCCTCCATCCCATGGAGGGGTGACTGTGAGCGAAGGGCTGTTCTTTTAGCTACCTGCTGGGTTAAACCACAATGCTGCCAGACATACAGGAATTATAAAATAGGGAAACTACTACAGCACATTAATTGAAAAGTGGAAGAAAAATTTCAAAGGTGAAAGAAAAATTTATTCCACACAGTTCTTCAGTTACATGAGCACTACCAGGAAAAAAATCAAATCAAGAAGAATGGGTAAACCTCTATTTCTCTATTAAGAAAAAACCCACAAAACCACACAGTTGCATAAAGAAATCCTAACGATAGGAAAGGCCAGAGCTCTCAAATCTTGCACATACTGCTGCACTGGCCTCTGACCACAACAAAATGAATACACACAGAAATTCAAGGATAACTGCAACAAGTTTTAAGTTTTGGAAAGAAATCTAAATGTGTTCATTACAGCTAGTTTATGGTTAGGTTGAACATTTCAAAAAGCACTTAATTTTTTTTATTGCTACAGCAATAAAAATGCTTGTACCAGGAGAGATTTTATATTATGGAAAGAAATGTTATATTTTTACATTTGTCTAAGTGTACTTCTAGTAAAAAATTACGTTTTTGGAAAATGAAACAAAACAAGACAAGTAAGTACTTTTGGAAGGGCTATCTACATCCAGCCAGTTACACAAACTAAATATGGATACCTGTAACACATAGCATTCTATTTATAACAGGAAACTTATTAAAACAAAAACCCTGCCTTATTTAGCCAAAACAATGGAACCTTTTCTAGTGTAAGCCAAAATATGCTTCTTAAATTTATCACTGCTAAAAATATGTAATTTAAGCTTCTGAAATATCAGGCTTTTTTTTTTTAAAGCAGCCTGGTCAATGACTTTTCGTAGTTTTTATTTCATTTTTAGTAGCAACTACTATACTCAAAAAATACATAATTCCTGGCTAGTTTCAAGGGGCAGACAGAACAGTGTTTAAAAACTGTTTACTTTTAATGCACATACAAAAAAAGAATACAAATGCTACATAAACACCACATTTTCAGCCATTTTCTAGCAATGAAATTACCTTGTGGGAAGTTTGGGGAGACAGTCTGGTTTGCTGCAAATGTATTGCTGGATCTAGGAGGAGTCCGTAACTGTTGTACAGCTGGAGCTTGGGCAGCAAGCGGCATAGAATTGCCGGGCAATACAACTACATTTGATGGTGTTACAGCTGTGCCCAGGGTAGCTGGATCAGTCACACAGGTGGCTATATAAAGGTTGTTTGAATTCCCAAAAGCTGTGCTCGTTGCTGGCATCAACTGTATAAATCCCCCTTCCTTGGAAAGATTAGTTGCACCTGCAACTGAAAAAACAGTGCAGTCTTCATTCTGAGTGTTAACTGAGGTGACCACAGGATCCTTAGGTCTAAGCATGAGAAGATTCTGCTCTGCCAAAGCTGAATCCACATTTTTTTCAGTGTCTTCTGAAGTTAGACATTTGGACAGGCCTGCAGTTTTGGCTGGGGATTTGGCTGGAGAAGACAGTATTATAGTTGGCAAATTTTCTCCTGTGATGCTGGAAACAGCATTATTTAACTCCGTGTCTGAGGAAATAAATGGATCATCGCTGATGATGATCTTGAGGGACATTATGTTGGAAGGATCAACATCCATTGGTTGACTGCTAGAAGATACACCACTTATACTTTTGGCCTCGGTACCTGACTCATCTGTTGAGGATGCAGTTTCTGGGAGAGGAGAGTGGCATATTTCAGACGCAGTAAGATTATTTTCAGTGGATACTACAGAAATTTCTGTACATGCATCATCACCAGAAGAGAAATATATATTATCAGCATCTACTTTAGTAGAAGATGAAGGTTCTTGCATTTCCCCTCGTGTTCCCTCTGAGTTTGGCAGTCCTGAAGGGAGGTTAAAATCTTTCTCACAAGGCTTATCAAGTGTATGATCATTTGAATAAGTTTTGTTAGAAGTATCAACAACTTCAAGCTGCAACTCTGTTTTGTCAAGATCTGAAATCTTCACTGCAGATCTGGCAGCACAGTCTGACTGCATACTCTGTTCCTGATGGTTAGAGGAGTGGCTAGAGTCCTCCTGTAAAATACCAGGTAAGGCAGCTGTATTGTTTGTTACAGCATGTTCTCTTCCTGCATCTGCTGATGGGCTAGGAATTGATGAATTGTTTTTTCTCAGCAGTACACTGTGGCCAGGGCTCCCATCAGAAGGGGTTTCAGTAAGTGTTTTTTCAGATAGTGATGTATTTGGTGATAAGTGACATTTACTTCCAGAATGTGTTTCGTTTCCACTAGTACCTTCTGCCAAAGAAATCTGCAAACTACCAGAATGAACATATTCTAAATTAGGACTACTTTGAGTACTATGACTTAGTGGGCCTTTTTCAATTTCCATAGCTCTTTCAGATACTAATGCAGATGACTCTTTTTTATCATAAGAATCTCCACAGTGTTCATTACATTCACTATCAGAACTCTGTCTCTTGTTAGGTTCAGTCAAACCAGGCACAGAGTCAAAAGCAATTTCAAGCTCTCCAATATGTTCAGGGGTAACAGTTTTAAGCACTTCAGTTTGCTTCCTTGGTCTACAATTTCCATGCAACTGTTCGTTGGTTGTATTTTTCTTACTCATATCATCATTATTAATGCTGGTCTTCAAGGCACATGATGCTTCTCCTAACTGAAAACCTTTACAGGATAATGATTCTCTAGAATTATCACCTGTAAAACAGAGAATAAATCAGTTCCACAATTATTAGAGCAGATGATCCTTTTACAGTGTTTTAGAAGCAACTTATCAGTTCAATGCAAAACTTTCATGTGAAAGTGGGAATAATGCTAATAAGGTTGGATGAGGCTCTGAGCAACCTGATCTGCTTGATGATGTCCTTCCTCACTGAAGCAGGGTTGGACTAGATGACCTTTTAAGGTCCCTTCTAACCCAAAGATTCTATGATTCTACTCATCCTTACTTTCAAGCTGAGTGCAAGGTATATGAAACGTATGGTTATATACATTAGTCAATCTCACAAATCAGTCTGTACATAAATAAGTATACACATAACAAGCAAACAGCTCAAGTCACCAAATCAGATTTCCAGAAGCACAAAAAACTTCTCAGGATAAAGACTTCTTGGCTCTATTTTTCATATACTTTCACTAAATATCTAAATATCTAACTATTGTTAAGAATGGGCTAGACAGACTAAACATACCTTTTGTCCAGAATAAGACTCTTTTTGTCTATTAATTAACCAATATATTACAGAATACAGAGAAAAGATTAATAGGGTTAGATGTAAAACATTATCTTTACGTTTTCCACAATGAATATTGTAAAGTATCTCTGCTTTGAACAAGATAACAGATTTGCAGATATTCTGGTTACATTTAGGAGCTTATGAAGCACAGCTTGTAAGTACACTGAGGGACTACTGTTAACTTTAATAGACTGAAACTTTCTAACAGACTAGGTGTATCCGCACGTTCAGGCAATGTATATGTCAGATTGGGTATTACTACTGAAAAGAGACGTCTTGAAATGTACAAATTGTTTGGAAATATTTTCATAATTAAAAGTGAACAGACCAGAAGAGATCTTCAAGAAAAAGAAAAAAAAACCCAACACCTACATCTGCTAGTTTCTTCTGTTCCTAAAGAACTTTCCAGTGTTTCCAGGTTATCCTCATCCACCAGAATTGCATTTTCTACTCCACTCTGACCAGAAATACCAGCAGGTAAGTTCTTGTTTACCTTACTCTTTCCTATTTTCAAAATAAAGCAAGAAGAATGATTGAATATGTCATTTTACACACAAATGTGATTATTACATTTTAAATGAAGCATGGAGGTTTCAAATTCAAGAAATGCCATTCTAAACTCAAACAACTATTTGTCTGTATTCATTACAAATTCAGAAATAGCATAAAAATATCCTTATATTTTATGTGAGGATATCCATGATCAGACAAATAGAAAAATTTTACACCAGCATAGAAAAACAAATATGAACTACCATCCTTTGGCCAAAAGAGTCTAAAATAACAGCAATAAAACAATCACTGAGCCAGCACAAAACCAGAAGAAAATGTTGTACTTTATAGTCGTCTATAAATGTATATAAAAATCTAGTTCTGAATTGAGGGACACAGATGCTATATAGTCCATTTCTCTTGCAAAAAAGGCCTGCTGAGTTATCTTTGCTTCTTCAAGCAACCCTTAGGAAAAATCATCATTCATGATGCTTTATAGTAATGGGACAATTGAGAAAAATATACCCTACCATAATCAAATAAGTCAAAGAGTGCCTGAAAAGCTGGATCTGATTCTGTCTGTTCTAGAATGTCCTGTATAGCCTCTTCTGACATATGAATTTCACCCTGAGAAAAGACAAGATACACAAAACTGTTAGACAGTTATTTTAATAACCGAAAAGAAAAACAGACAAGAACTGTTTTCTTTACAGATTGTTTTCAGTTCTATTACTTCTGCTCAGCACAGAAACATAAAGACTAATGCTGGAAACATTTCTGCCACAAATTTAAGTCTGTTAAAAAATATTACTGATTAAATTTTAAGAAATAAAGTCCTCCAATACTCAAATGTCTTTGTCAGACAGTACACCCTGAACATGTGTATTGGAGTATTCTCCACATAATGACCAGCATTAGTTAAGGACTGTATCTCAGGCTACACTGCAAGATTATGCAAATGGTATGAAGGCCATGAGCCTGCACTAGTCAACCACTGGGGAAAAAAAAAAAAAAAATCCCCAAATTAACCCTATTTTCTTGGTTTTGCATCTATCTAGAAGACAATGCTAGGCAAAGAGAAGTTTTATTTCATTTACTCATTACATGTTCTATAATATAGAATCATAGAATAGTTTGGGTTGGAATGGACCTTAAAGGTCATCTAGTCCAACCCCCTGCAGTGAGCAGGGACACCTTCAACTAGAGCAGCTTGCTCAGAGCTCCGTCCAGCCTGACCTTGAATGCCAGGGATGGGGTATCTACCACCTCTCTGGGCAACCCCTGCCAGTGGTTCACCACCCTCATTGGGAAAAATTTCTTCCTTACGTCTAGTCTAAATCTACCCGCTTTTAGTTTAAAACCATTACCCCTTGTCTGGCTCTACTAAAAAGTCTGCCCACATCTTTCCTCTGTTCCCCCTTTAAGTACTGGAAGGCTGCAAGAAGGTCTCCCTGGAGCCTTCTTTTCTCCTCTCCCAGCCTGTCCTCAGAAGAGAGGTGTTCCAGCCCGCTGATCATTTTTGTGGCCTTCCTCTGAACCCGCTCCAACAGGTCCATGTCTTTCCCTGTGCCGAGGGCTCCAGAGCTGGACGCAGGACTCCAGGTGGGGTCTCCCCAGAGTGGAGTAGAGGGGCAGAATCACTTCCCTCAACGTGCTGGCCACGCTGCTTTGGATGCAGCCCAGGATACGGTTGTCCTTCTGGGCTGTGAGTGCACATTGCTGGCTCATGTCCAGCTTTTCATCCACCAGTATCCCCGAGTCCTTCTCAGCAGGGCTGCTCTCAACCCCTTCATCCCCCAGCCTGTACTGATACTGGGGGTTGCCCCGACCCAGGTCCAGGACACTGCCCTTGGCCTTGTTGATCAGGAGGTTCACATGGGCTCATTCCTCGAGGTTGTCCAGGTCCCTCTGGATGCCATCCTGTCCCTCAGGTGAGTTAACCACACCACTCAGCTCGGCATCGTCTGCAAACATGCTGAGGGTGCCATTGATCCCACTATGTCATTGATGAAGTTACTGAAGAGTACTGGTCCGAGTACAGACCCCTGAGGGACACCACTCATCACTGATCTCCATCTGGACATTGAGCCGTTGTCCCCTACCCTCTGGATGTGATCATCCAACCAATTCCTCATCCACTCAACAGTCCACCCATCAAATCCCTATCCCTCCAATTTAGAGAGAAGGATGTTGTGGGGAACTGTGTGAAAGGCCTTACAGAAGCCCAGACAGATGACATCCATAGCTCTTCCCCTGTCCACTGATGTAGTCACTCCGTCACAGAAGGCCACTAGGTTGGTCAGGTAGGACTTGCCCTTGGTAAAGCCATTCTGGCTGTCTCAAGTCACCTCCCTGTCCTCCATGTGCATAGCTTCTAGAAGGATCTGCTACTTTTCTGTGGAAGGCAGCTGGAAGGCACAGCTACATAGGACACTGCTCTAAGGTTCCTGTTCCAAGTTGACTTGTTTGGTAGCCACCCAGGACAAAAGTGAGCAGTGCACTCAGTACATAGTCAAGCATTCAAATACACAATTTCTCCTGACTTCCTAGAGAACCTCTAAGAACTCTACAAATTTTGATATGCTGGTCGTAAGGGTGGATATCCCATGTGATTGTTTTGTCTCAGCTACTCTAACTAAACCAAGAAGCTGCTCTGATTTTGTTCTGCTCAGAAAAACAGAATATTTTGACAAAAAGTGTCTTAATCACCAAGTGACAGAAGAATAGCTATACCTCTACTTTGTAAACAGGCAATGCCTCTACTCTCCTGTCCTTGTCATGAGGGCTGTGAAGATTTTAATTCCCTCATTAAATCATTTGTAACTCTGTGATTTCCAGCTCGAGGGCTGTAGGAGAATGAAGCGAGAACACTAGGAATTTAGTTTGTAGAAGTTGAAATGTACATTTCCTCCAAAAGCAAAAAAATATTAAATTTTAAGAAAAAACATTCTTATTTAGGCTCCAAAGACAATTTCTCCTGCTATACTAGACAATCCATGTTTATCTTACAGCAAATCAGAAAATCAGACCAGACTAAACATGTTTGGAGACCACAAGATATTTTAAATACCTTTTTCTTCTACAAGGTTATTGAACAGATCCTCAGTCAGAAGCTGGTACCAAAGATCCAGTGACGAGCAGGCAGCTGGTGACTGTGGGACAGTGTACTTAGATCTCAGTCTGCAGGGTAATGTTACCTGCTGCCAGAAGAGGTCCTACCCCCTTGGCTTTTGACTCTGCTGCATGCTTATGCTGCCTTGTAAAGACACTGCGAATGAATTCGGAGTGCTAAACTGGCTCACAATTATACCCAGCAAAGTACCCTGTCAGTTCAGGTCCTTGAAACTGTCCATCACCATACAACAAGGTAAGAGTTAATGCCTATGCAAGGGAAGCTGTGGAACTGCCCCTGGGGCAGAAGCTAGCCATTAGATAGCCTTAGCTGTGTTGTAAAACAAACCAACAAATAAAAAGGAGCAATCTTGCATATCAAGACAGTTGACAGAGGTTCAGCATAGTTCCCGTAACTGATCAGTCTCATGTGCCTGGTGTTCAAAAAATGTAAACAGGGCAATCCACACCTACCTGAAGTCCAAGAATTTCATCAATTGAAGTCTCCTGTTCTGTGGGGCCACTGTCTGTCTGTTTAGGGGCCTGAGCAACATTGCCATCACTGGAACACATTAGTCATTAGTTCAGAACTCAAAAATAAATCAAAATACTATGTATGAGGTTTAGAGTTTCCTTTTATTACCTGCCCAGGATTTTGTTAATGTTCTCAGCAAGCTTCTCCTGAAGAGATTTGTTGCTCAAGATTTTTTCTCTGGCATTTTCAATAACCAGTTGCTGGAAAACACAGTTTTAAAGTGGTCAGGTTTCTATTTTTATCATCACTAGAAAAGAAGCATGAATTTCTTGTTAAAAAAAAAAAAATCAATTCAACACAGAAAACACTCTTTGTAAAAGAGAGGCAGCCAATCTGTGACTGCATGACATTGCTAGGAAAATTGTCCCAAGACATTCCTGTACTTCTACTCTCCTAAAGTACACCAAGGCTTATTGAGCTTTCTGGTTTCCATTCTCTACAAAATGACTGTATTCTGACAGCTTACAGGTATCTTAGCAAAGCCAGTAAGTCAAGGAAAAAAAACCTCTACATAGCTATGCCATCCTCACTAGTTTAGTACACAGAAGATCTAGTTCAAATACAAAACAATAAATCTATCTTCTGAAGTTAATTTCTATAATACCCAAGACAAACAACATGTAAAAGACTAGTTCTCCTTAGTCTGAATTAATTTCTTAAATGTAAATACCTTCCACAAGTATATACTCACTGGGAAGTTACCATCTATGAATTCTTCAAGTGGCTCACTTTCTTTCTCTGTTATTACTTCATCAGAGTCTTGAGAACTTCTAGTTGCTGAAGGAGGTACAGATGTTGCAATGCTTTTCCTCTTCTGAGATTCACTGAAACATTGCAGGAAATGTGATGTACTTTGTGAGAACATAGCAAACAATAGACCTAATGGTCAGTAAATCAAGTGCTTCTCTTCCTTCTTAGCAAATGAAGGATTTTAATCGACAGCAAATTAACTACATTTTTCACAATGAGGGTGGTGAACCACTGGCAGGGGTTGCCCAGAGAGGTGGTAGATGCCCCATCCCTGGCAACATTCAAGGTCAGGTTGGATGGGGCGTGCTGAGCAACCTGCTGTAGTTGAAGATGTCCTGCTCATTGCAGGGGGGATTGGACTAGATGTACTTTAAAGGTGCCTTCCTACCACAATTATTCTATGATTCTATGACACATACTGGAAATACAATAAAAGCCAATATCTGTTTCATTATGTTGAATGCATATATTGTGTCTGACTTCATAGAAGTTACAAATACATGGACTGTGGGTTAACAGCACAACAGCAAATTGAATTCCATGCCCACTATTCAGTATTTTTCCCCCTCCAGTACACATTACTTTAACTGGTGGTACAGGTTCCAATTAACTGTCACTCAAGAAAAAGACTTGGGCATCACCAATGAAAATAAAGATCTCTGCAGGAGCAGCTGTTGTTAAAGACTCAAACAAATGTTAGGTTTCATAAGAATTTAGATTATGAATAGGAAATGCAATGCTTTTATATGAAGTCATGGTGTAGGCTCTTCTGAAACTATCAATCAACAGTGGCTCTAAAGTCACTTATAAACGAAAAAATCATGCAGGAATAGAGAGGACTTGGAAATGTTATAAATGAGTAACAATCTGGAATAATGGTAAGCAAACCCATAGATTGGGATTTAGTCAGAGATAAAGACAACAAATGGAACACAAAGATACCAGCCAACTCATTAAAGGACACTGGAATCTAAGAACAAAAAATGCAAATCTAGCATAAGAACAGTTTTTCACACCACTTTTAGTGCAAATATGAAAATATTTGCTGACAAAATTTATTGAAGCCAATCGTTTTGCCACATTAAAACCACACAAAATATATATCGATATAACCGCACAAAAAGTTACATCGATACTGAGAATTTTCAAAATGTATATGGGTATTTTGGAAGACATACTAAATCTCAGGCACCAAGATTATCTGTCTATGTCTAATACTGGAATAACGTAAAGACCGTCACCTCCTATCAGTCTAATGTTAAGTTCTTTGACTTTCCTTTCCTTTGTGAAACATCACACACCGGCCACTTTCAGTGAGTCTTAAACGTGAAACATTCCACCACCTAAGAAAATTTTCACTAGACGTTAGAACACTGCATAATCTCTAATAGAGCTTAAGAAAACTCCCATGTCTACCTTTTTCTTCTTCCTGGAGAAAGCAAGTTTGAATGAAGCTTTCGTTCTTGTGATGATGGAACAGGAATGTGTATGAAATCTCCTGCTTTATAAAGGAAAAAGAAAGATCATGATGCCAGTACCTTTTCCAGTGACATTGTTAAAGCACTACAGAAATCTATACATTACTTAATATGTTCCAATCAATTCCTGGAAATTTATATAAAATAATGTTGTTATTATCATGAAAATGAGAACCTATTCTTTTAAATATATACTGAGAAAACCATCCACTTGATGTGGATCATCCCTATCTGCTAAAACAAGTGTTTTGGGCGAGGGTGAGAACACAGGATAGAATAATGACAAATTAATGCACTTCTGAGCTCTGAACTCACATTAGCATGCAAGAGCCATTTCTCTTTTAGGCACTCCTTTTATTTTAATCACCTGAACCAGTCTGGAGAGCTAGGGGAACAAAGCATGAATTTTCTGAAACTTTTGTGGTGGAAGATGGTTAGCCCTGACGTTAGAAACCTTGCATCTATATCGATAGATTCTTCCCCCCTCAAAAAGGTTTAAAAAAAAAGTGTGCAACTTACTGCTGATCTTGTTGTCTTGGGTTTGTGACTGGTGCACAAACAACGTATTCAGTCTTGCCTGTGACATGCTTTGATTTATTGTTGGCCTGTGAATAACTTGAGGAGATACAAGAGAAGAGGAATTCTGTGGCCCTGACTGATGGGCTACAGACAACAATCCTGAGTTTGCAGGAGCTGATTGCTGAAGCATTCTCTGTCTTTTCATTTCTACAATTCCACTTCTTGTACGTGCTGGAGATAATAAAGGCAGGATGAAAAAATATGATAAAGGAATTTTAAAAAGTTGCTGATTTTCCAAGACCTAATTAAGGATGCTCCATTGAAACCTTTTTGTGCTTCAACAACTAATTCATGAAACTCAAAAAGTAAGCAACACCTATCTTTGTCTTCTGTGTTATAGGTTTGAGACAAAATAATTTTAGTACAGGCAACTTACATAGACATTGTAACCATGCTTGTAAGTCTGCTGAAATATTTACAGGAATAAATCATACCAAAATGATATTGCGTACATAATACACCACTCATGTAATTGACCTGCACTGAAATAGTTAAACCAATGTAAGTTTGCATTTATTTATCAGACTAAATCTGACAAATTTAAACAACAGAACACCACCCAGCTCAGTGAATCTCAGCTCCAAGAATAATCACTACCTATATTTCATGTTCTCTTTTCTCACACAGGTTACTTAGTAGATGTACTACAGAGAGAAAAAAAATTTTTAAGTAACTTTTCTTTTTTGAGAGTTCATCTGGCAGTTTTTGTAATGAAAGAAATAATTCTAGATAGGAAAAGATACTTGTTCTATTTTTCTTAGACATATGTTTGTATGCATAAAAATAATTGTTTCAAGATTGTAACACATTTTTATATTCCCCTTCAACAGAAATGAAACTGAATCATAATTTGAGTGGTTATGTTTTCAGTTCCTCTATGAACCACAAATTAAGCCAACAGCTTCAGGATTGAAGCAGCAGTTTTTAAACCTTTTAACTGTATAAACTTCTAAAAAGTTTTCAGCAGAGAAGAAAATGCTATATAGAGAATTAAAGCCTCTTGCAAAAAGCTCAGCTTTTCTTATTTTCCTTTCTTGATCATTACAGTAATCCACAGACTGCACTGAAGACAACAGACATGCTGAAAAAAACACTGCAAAAGAGATTTGACAACATTTTAAGAGTATGGATGCATTACCGATTGCTGCAGCATTTCCCCATTTTTTGCCAAAACAGATAATTTGATCATAAAGCCTATTGATCCCATGGAATCGGCTCAGTTACTTACTCCTTTGATTAGCAGAAAATCCTGTGGAATTCTGCATGCTCCTAAAAAAAAAAACAAAACAGGTGACATAAATAAAAGGAGCACAATGGAAACACTCAGTTACACAGTGCGACATTATCTGCCATATGGTTAATGTCAGTCTGGTCCCAACCACACATTACTTCAGAAAGCTTTGATCTACTGCTTGTTATTTTTATTCTTTCAAACAACGGTCACAGATACTTCAAATGTAGCTTACTGCTATATTTTTGATCAAGTAACCACAATGGTATCAGATTCTAAATGAGTCAGAGTATATTGTTTTATTACAGGAAGGCCACATACACTAATGCCCTCCTTATCTGCTAGTCCTGCCTTAAAATCTTGACACGTCTACTCAACTATTAGATCTCACATACCTATCTTCTTCACCATCTCTCAGAGGCAATAGAGAGCAAAACCATTCTCATACAATGGTAAGAGAAGCTGATCAACATAGGGACTCACTCAGAATATTTTACTTTCTGAATTTCAAAACTGTATTACCTGATCTGAGAAAGTGTATAGTCTAATTTTTTCCACAGAGATGACATCATTGCTGGAACTTCACTTGTTGTTTCTAAAATAAACATAAAAAAAACATTTTAGATATCTAAAACAGGTACATATTGAGAAAAAGTAAAGTCACAAGCAAATTATTATTACAAGTGTTTCAGACATCATCTAACTTTAGGTGTCTAGTCACCTTCTTAATATTCTGTTAATTAGAGAGCCCTAACTCCTAATTTAAGAATTTTGATTGATACAAACACACTTTCATCATGGATACAGTTCTCAGTTTTAGAAGCTGAAATGAAACTAAGGAAAAGACATTCATGATGGCAATTCTCAACGTAATCTGCACATGGTGTTGACTCCTGGGCAAACACATGCTAACCTAACTCACTTCTGGGAATGGTATTCATATTCTGAAGTCACTTTTGTGCTTTTGAAAATTGTAACCTGGCAGACAGGCCTTTAAAAGCAATGGTTTATTTTAAGATGCCATCCAAACAGGTAAAAACACTTGGTATTTTTGAAGTACGGAATGTTAAAGTATAAATGGAAAGATGTAAGCCAATCAATTACAAAGTTTTTCAAGTTACAAAGTATTTAAAAGAAAGTATGTTTGTGTCTTAGTTACCATTCCTATTAAATCTACTGTGAAAGGAAAAAACATTCAGAGATGTTCCAAACATGGTATGTCTTAAATTGCAAGTTAGAAATGCAACTTAGAACCAAGCACCAGTAAAATCTGATCATACAACATGTATCAAAAAATGGTAAGACTTGGCAACATTCAGAAGCTCAACAACTGTTTTTAAAAACAGGAAACTCTCTAACTCTGTCTCTAATACTCACACAAAATATTAAGTTATTGAGATTATTTTAATTACTTTTAAAAACAAGACAAGAAACATTTCACACCATAGGACTCTTCCAGGTTATTTCATAGAATCACAGAATACCTCAAGTTGGAAGGGATCCATAAGGATCACAGAGTCCAAATCCCTGCTCCTCGCAGGACCACCTAAAACTAAACCCATATGACTAACAGTGTTCTCCAGACTCTCCTTGAACTCTGGCAGGCTTGATGCCATGACCAGTTCCCTGGGGAGCCTGTTCCAGTGACTGACCACCTTCTCAGTGAAGAACCTTTTCCTCATGTCCAATCTGAACCTCTCCTGATACAGCTTCATTTAATTGCCACATGTCCTATCATCGGTCACCAGAGAGAGGAGATGAGCACATCCCCCTCCTATTTATAGTATAAATAATAAACAGTGCAATTTTACAAGCATAAACCCACACATTTTGCATATTTTATTATATCTTTGTGCTTTATTACACTAGAAGTTCTGCCCAAATTTAAGGGAAAATATATGCTGGCAAATCCAAACTAAGATCTTCTGATCTTGCTCACAAGATGCTGATCTAACTGGCCATTGTCTGCATAACATGGAAACCTTCAACTTCTGGCATAGATGGAGGATTGCTCTAAGTCCATATATAGGTGGAGATATTACCTCTTCTTCAAGGAGTTCACAACAGATAAGTAAGAAAAAGAACATAAAAATCTCATTCTGAAGGCTTACCTTTTGTTTTCATGGCTACATATTCATTAAGAATAGTTGTCAAGTTTTTTCCACACAGGGACTGGAAAAAAAATACTGATCTTAGAATCTTCACTAATAACTTATATTTCACCTGCTGTATCACATTATATTTATGCAGTTCTTTAGAAGACTACACCACGCTGACCCTCAACAGAAAGAACTGTACTTTATGCTGCTGGTGCTCAGCTTTCTCAAACTAGGTAGAGAGCAATCTATGGAACAAAATGCCATTATGAACACAAAATCTGAAGTGCTTGATTTCATTGCACAACACTGGTAAGGTAGTTAGAGCTGCATGACCTCCACTCACCTTTGTTATTATGGACTAGAAATACAAAAAGAAGATGATGAACAGCTGTAACAGAGTAATGAGTATGTAGCATCCTGGAATGCAAAATGTGTTACGATGCAAACGTGAAGAGAACTTCTGTCTGGAGTAAAATTCTTAACAGTCTCACAGGATTAACTTTCATATCACATTTACTTGTTCTGTTATTTTAGGTGAAACAAAAAGAATTAAGATTTTAAGGCTACCACTATCATTTGTTGTACCTTCTTGCCTTGTTTGCTAGCAGGAACTCTACAGGGTATGACAAATACAGCCCTTACTGCAAGTATTTTGAGCTGCAGTGGGAAGTTTTTCTTAGACACTATCATATCATCACTTTTCTATGAAAAACAGGAAAAATATTTCTACTGAGAAAAGGAAGATAATTAAAAGTTTTAAGAATCTGGATAATCTCTTCACATTTGGGTTTTCTAATTTTTGCTGGCCATAGCTTGGTTCTCAATACCCTATCCACAAAGTACAGATGACTGAACACAAAATAAGTTCAATGGTCTGTTTTGAATAGATGTATCAAGACCTTGGACCTCAGAAAAGATTTCCACAAATTTTGAATACTGTGGACAAAATCCCAGACAATATCATTAACTGATATATTAAAAGAATGAAACGTAAACCAGGAAAAAGATACATATAAACATTAAAACATTGATACATCTAAATGCTGTAATTTGCATACTATATTAAAAATCCCATTTTGTGTATGTTAAAAATGCAAAGTGTCTAAATACCCTGTAGCTATATGCACATTATCTACATATGTAGCTGTTGTGGTTTAACCCCAGCCAGCAACTAAGCTCCAGGCAGCTGCTTGCTCACTCCCCTTGGGTGAGACAGGGGAGAAAATCAGAACAGTAAAAGTGAGAAAACTTGTGGGTCGAGATAAAGACAGTTTAATAGGGAAAGCAAAAGCCACGCACGCAAACAGAGCAAACCAAGGAATTCATTCACTACTTTCCGTGGGCACGCAGGTGTTCGGCCATCTCCAGGAAAGCAGGACTCCATCATGCTAACGGTTACTTGGGAGGCCAAATACCGTAACTCCAAACATCCCCTACCTCCTCCTTCTTCCCCCAGCTTTATATACTGGGCCTGACATCATATGGTATGGAATATCCCTTTGGCCAGTTTGAGTCAGATGTCCTGGCTGTGTCCCCTCCCAGCTTTCCATGCACCCCCAAACTTCTCGCCGGCAGGCCAGCATGAGAAGCTGGAAAGTCCTTGACTGCTTAGCAAAACTGAAAACATCAGCATGTTATCAACATTATTTTCATCCCAAATCCAAAACATAGCCTCATACTAGCTTCTGTGAAGAAAATTCATTCTATCCCAGCTGAAATCAGGACAGTAGCTACATGCTGTATTTATGCACACCCAAAGTTCCACATTTCACCTGGGACAAAGCAGATGATACTCATCAAAGAGGAAGTCAAACCGAAACACAGCTTTTGTCAACAAAATTTGGTAGCCTGAGATAAAGCTGGCCTTACCTAAATATTTAATATGTACTTGAAATGGAATATTACCAGCTGACATGCCTAGCATAGGAAAGCGACTGTCAATAAATTAGAAGAGCAGCCCTGAAACCAGTAAAACCCTAGCGACACACTTTCATATATCAACCTCAAAGGTATAAAGCAGACTAAATGTAATATGCTGAAAGCAATTTGCGTATTTTACACTTAAATGTTTCTTAGTAAGATTAAATATTAGAAACCAAATAACTGCTAATATCACAGGATGCAAAAAAAACAACCACCCCAAAACCAGAGGGATGATCTAACTAAACGTTCTAAGCAGCATTTGAGAAGTAATTGTTACGCTGAGAAATCTCGATTTTCTTCTCCACAGATGCAAGACAATTTAGTTTTCTGGTTTGCAAATACAAACTCACCAACAAGCAGGCTGGAATAAACCCATCCTCTGTACAGTGCTCTGCATATTCTTTCAAATCTGAGCTTTCCAAAATAAATTCACGGCAGGTAGCTAGAAGTTTTTCCTGTTGTAAATACCCTGCAACAAATCAGATGGAAAATTTTGCTATTTCATTCATTACTTGTGCTCAATAGCTATCAAACCATTAACATAAGCAGCTGCATACAATGTTGAAATAATCAGGTGAAGATTTGGGTGTTAGACAAGTAAAGTTATTTTGAAAGACCATGTATCTTGCAAATTATTTCTTTAATAAAGCCAGAAAGAGCACAAAATATTATTGATATTACAATAATAGTTACAAACTATTCCAGATTGGAAGTGAGACAATACGAACAATTTCTGACTGATCTTTACCACAGACAGTACTGTACAGACAAGAAAATAAAAGTTCTTGGTTTGGGAGGCTGACAAACTAACTCATGTGGGCTGAACAACCCAATTTGATAATGAAATGGAATTCTACAGTACTTTGTTAATAAAATGCATTGCTGTGTAACAATAACTCTCCACGCATCCTCCTGTTTCAAAACAAGTAAAACCTGTGCAGCTGTTAGAACAGTGTATAAGATTTATTAAAAAAAATTGGCATTGTACAAAAATTTATAATAGAAGAAGGTTCTCCCCCTTCACTCACTGTAATTTTCATTTTGAATAGATGCACTAGCTGCAACTTGTGTCCTGTATACACCCCAAGAGTCAGCAGTTAACCTTAACAGGAAATATACTGGAAAAGCTTACTTTTCCAAAATTCCATTCCTCAGCAAATATGTTCTGCTTTAATCAAACTTTTTAGGCCCTGCTTTAATCTTCAAATACTTTAAACATTAAAAAGATAGAAATAGACCAATCTGAATGAAGGATTCTAGAACAAAGAACCACAAAAGAAAACTCTCGTTTTTCTTGCTTGTAGCAGAACTGAACATGCAAGGTTTTAAAGAAAGGATAAAATATGTGCCTAATTATACAATGCAGGATATATATACATTAGTATATCTATTTCAATGGATGC